GGAACAGTCTCTTTGTGCTTTAGTACAGGGGTAAGACTGCGTATATTCGACCCCCTACCTCACCGGAGGTGTGGGAGCCTTTGCGGCACTCGGGTAATAATGATGACGATTGTCTACAATTTAACTACACCATAAAAATGAAGATAGAAGATATAATCTCACTACGGCATTCAATCGAACAATTTCTGTGCAAAAGGAAAACCGAGTGTTTTAATAAATATGAATGAAACAACAACTCTCTTAACATTAATAAAAAATGCGAATAGAAATAGGAGTCCAATAGGCAGCTAACTAACCTATGTTTCTGTCTAGCCAGTACTCCACTTCTTAATTACGTACTAAGAACATGAAATTGCCACTACTCCACCTTGAGTGTCTTTAATCTTCTCAATTCCTTTTGTACGTTTCTCATACACCCTCAAACTTCCAAAGGCCTCATCAAACATCATCAAATCTAACTCAAAGCATTGATCCAATGTATACAGCCATTCCCTCCGGAAAATTGTGCAAGCTCATTCCTTAGAAAGAAAAAGAACAAGGACTCAAAACTCACTTGTTATTTCTTTTGGGTAAAATTAAATGGGCGGGAAGGGGGTTATTTTACCACTTTATTTTATATCTTGAACTTTAAAGTAATTTACTCCAACAAAAGTAATTTATCATGCTCACATAAAGTGTTGTTTTGTGAGGGGAAATGGTTCAAGGTGAACATGAACGACTATTTGAAAATTGAAAGCAAGCATTTTCATCATTAGTCATAAAATTAGTGTTGATGGTTAGACTACAAGGGCAACCCCACTTCATTGACTTATACTGGCAGACTGGCCGTAAATCAAACTTAATAAACATACCCACTATATTCTATTTTAAAGTAGGGTTTGGGGAGGATGAGATTATATAGACCTTAATAGTTACAACTACCTCTTAGAGTGGAGACCGGAGAGGTAATCTGACTCCGGTATAAACACCGTTGTCAACATTAGTGTGCATGAATTCAACATATTATCAAGTAACTCATTGGATTAAAATAAGTTAACAAAGTAAACTTCTTCATGAGCCTGAAAAATATAGAAGATTGATTGGAAGATTTCTATATCTAAACTTGACAAGACCAGACATCTCATATACTATACAACAACTAAGTAAATTCATGAATGAACCAAGGATAAGTCAAATGCAAGCAACCTTGTTCCTTGCTCATTATCTCAAGCATACCATCAACTTTGGTCCCTTCTACCCAACGGTCCCAACACAATCCTCATTTGAGTTATCTACCTTTCATGATGCTGATTGGGGATCAAGTTTTATGATAGGACGCTCATTATCAAGATATTGTATTAATTTTCTAAGGAAAGTCATTCATTTCCTGGAAAATAAAGAAACAAAAGACAGTGAACAAATCAACTGCAAAATGTGAATGTAGAGGTATGAGTTACACTACATCGGAAATTGTGTGGCTTTATGGACTATTTAATTATGGAATTTCATCATGAGATTCCAAAGCCTATTTCATTATTAATATGGCTTCTCAGCATATAGTTCAAAATCTTATATTTCATGACAATACTAAACATCTTCGGATATATTGCCATTATTTGAGAGAAACATTTCAAGAAAGACTTTTAGAACCTCGATACATATCGTCTGGTTCTCAGCCTGCTGATATCTTTACGAAAGCATTAGTAGCAAAACATCATCAGAACTTATTTCAACAATCAAAGTCTAACATGGGGAGGGGATGTGAAGATAAGCTTGAATATTAGTTACATACGGTTGGGATGAAGTAGTTAGTTATTTTGTTAGAGATATTTTCTATTAACAATATTACGTTCTTACTTCTTTATAAATAGACATTAAACAATATGAATAAAGTTAGTTCATTCTTTCCATTTCTTTTACTTCTCTATGCTTCCAGAAATTCCACTTTTATTCTGGGGAAGATAAAGAGGCTGAAGCTACTAAACAAAGAGATGGTGCATGAATCAGCAGCAAGCAGAGTAATGGTTCCTCAATCACGGATGTATGAAGTGCATGCTTGAAGCAGTGTAGATATCATAAACGATACCCTAGGGAATAAGGTAGAAGTTGAATTTTGTCTTGCTGCTTTAGAAGTTCAGATTTTAGGCCTATAGATTTTTTCTCTTCTACCCATAGTTACGGAGAAAATGGATCTAAAAAGTAACTATTACCAAACCATCTGTTGGGATATTAGGATCCAGCCCAATATACCGGCCCAGAATATCCTAAGGCCCAAGAGCAAAGGAAGGCCCAAAGTAAAGCAATGGGCTCCCGAATGGGATTTGGGCAACTAAAGAAGACACCCGTTCGGCACATCCCGAACGTGATATACTCCACACTTGGATAACCAGTATCCCTCTGGACTGATGGCTTAGCAGGTCCCAAAGCCGATCGGGGATCCATACAAGTGGAAGGATACATTTAATGCTGGAGTATGGGATCACAAGTAGGAGCATGAGAGCACAAGTAGCATGGAAAGCAACCAATCACATTGGAGCACCTCATACCCTCCACCTACCCACATCTAGTATAAATAGCATCATTTATTCTATTGTAAGGGGTTAGCATTTGTTTACTCACAAGCACTATAGTTCATTTCTAGCTCTTGTATTAGACTGTGGACCGTAACTCCCGTTCGGCCATTTTACTTTTTTTACTCCGGGGGGGGGGGGGGGGGGGGGGGGGGCTGGAGTAATCAGGGTTGAAACTCACTCCATTGAGTTTCAAACCCTTGTGTGCCTAGCGAGTTTCGAACTCGAGACCTCCCACTAGGCACGGTAACCTCACAACTAGCTGAGCTGGAATGCTTGGTTCCCGTTCGACCATTTTACTGTAATTGTACTTATTGCATTACTACCATTGGAGCTTCTTAAGTGAGTTTATCAGTTTTTATATTTCTTTTAAGCACTCGTTACTGTATCAATCATATCCTAGATCCTAAGGCCGGTGTTACGCCTTCGGATTCATTCGGGAATTAAACTCAAGACCACCCTTTTCCCTTTTTCGCTTTTGAAATAATTGATTTTTTTTAAATGGTATGTGTATATATGAGATACTAGAAGAACTACAATATTGATGAACTATAAGAGAGCTTAAGGAGAGTTTGAGCGGAGATGATGGAATCTGAGATCAAGGATCTTATAAATGCTACAGAGATTTACAATAGTGATGCTACGGAGATGATGGAATCTGAGATCAAGGAGTATATTAATAGACTACAGAGATTCTATAGCTGGTAAACTACACTTGAGCAAGTTGAAAAGGGAAAGAAAGGTAGGGGTGATAAATTGATCCGGTCTTGGTGAGCATTTAAGTTGATATACTTTAGTTTAGATGTCATTTGAAAGAAGGCAGAATTATAGTCACTTTTAAATTTATATTTCTGCAATCTAATCGTAAATTGATTCAGTCATATTGACTCTTAGGTAAATGAACACATTATTGATGATCATATCTTTCTTGGATATTATCTCATAATTCGTTAGGGTCATCCACTAATAAATATTCAGAATTTAAGGTCATGTGAACATGACGACAAAGAGAAACAACTTTTACCTTATTTTGAGGAGTTTACTATTTTATTTTCAACTATTTTGTTCCGAAGGACATTTACTTTTAAAGACAATAAAGTCTCCTTTGCTAATATTTTTCATTTCAGGTAATTTTGGTCATATAAATTAAAGACGTCAAATTCTCCATTGCTAATTCATATTTTCCATAATACCACAAGAAGATGATGATTTCAGAGATTTGGAAGAAATTCGATCATGTTGATAACGTGTTATGAAATGAAAGAAAAATTAACATTAGATTAGAGATGTTATATTAATAATACGCTTAATGGCGTTCTTGAACAGAAAATTAATACAAGATAAAGAGAAGTTTTCTATTTATAGAAGAAAGTGTAAGTTCATTTAAATTAGGAAATAAATATAAATCACATAATTATCACCTTGAAGTCATTATTATGATTTTCTTAATTATTTTGATATTGGTGATAATAAATTCCTAATCATGAATACTATAAGATGACTAATTCATTTATATTTTAACAATTCTATATTTCTACTTTTCTATTATGATGACATCTTCTCATCATTTTTCTATCTTTTTCACAATTTTCAAACAACATAATGTTGTCTATTATGAGTATTATTAATTAGAAGGAAAATCAACATTATATTTAATTAACCAACAATTAAATATAAGCTGCTCAAAAAATTTGATTGCCTTCCCGATTGAAGTTTTAGCTGAAATTTGGTATGAATAAACTAGACTTAATGAATAAGCTTCTCAAAAAAAAATCATCAAAACATTCCATCGGAAACCGCCCCAAATGGCGACGGCCGGACAGAGCCTCCTATATAAGGACTTATTTGACCTTTTTATCTAAGTTCGAGTAATTATCCGACTCTTTTCCCTTAAAAAACACTATATTTAATTTTTTAACCATGTTATCATTGTGTAGAAATACGTAGTATAATATTGTGTACGTGGAGGAAAGACAAATTCTATTTGTGTACGCCTACACGTCCCAAATTTGAGTCGATTTTTGAACCAAATTATTTAGTGGTACTAATAAAACTTGCTACGTATCCTTTCCGTTCTTTAAAACTTTGTCATCTTTTCTTTTTGGAACATCTCAAAGAACTTTGCCAATTTTCCTTTTAATCAATTATTTTACGTGTTCTGTTATTTTTCTCTGCTCTGTACAAATCCCAACCACATAACTTTTATTTAATTATTCTCCGTGCCGGTCAATTTTGACAAAATTTTAAGACACATTCTAACAGATCAAATTAAGACGATGTTATCATTCAAAATACGCACAACGGCGCGATTGAAATTTGTGGTCCAAGCTGATCGCTCTCATAACATTTTATTGGTATAGTTCAGCTACAAAATGCAACGTGTCCCACCGGAATTCAATTATGCAGCCCAGATATTTAATTTACGACGGCAGCTAAAAATATTCATTAAATCAGCTCCACCGCCAGCCCATATGCATATATCTGTTCTGGTTTATTTTAGTAATGCTATGTCTATACATATGGTGGGTCACTGACTCACTGTATGGCTTCCCATGTTTATCTGTTTCAATTCACCAATTATGTGGAAAGAGTTTTCTTTGCCTTCTACACAGTTTTCCTGTAAATTGTATCCTGCCAATGGGATTTCCAGTTTTCCAGTTTTCTCACTTACTTACATGGGTTATTAATTTATTGAGCTGAATGCAATCTTGAATGAGCATTTCTTGACTTTTTTATTTCTTTCTTTGATAAACACATAAGTCAGATTAATCTTTTTGTCCTAAGAGATGGACTCGAGTAGTGAAGCTAGTGTAGATTTTTTATCCATTGGACCTTCATCCCTACTTGGTAGAACGATTGCTTTCAGAATATTGCTCTGCAAATCGATTTCACAATTGAGGCGTAATGTTTTCCAGTCACTGTTATTCTACTTGTCCAAGTCAAAAACAGGAGTTTCAAACTACTTGATGCCTTATATAGCATGGCTTCATCCACGGAATCCGCAAGCCATATTAGCAATGGTCACACTCTTGGCTTTCCTGTTGAAACGCTACACGAATGTGAAATCCAAGGCTGAGATGGCTTACAGGAGGGAATTCTGGAGGAACATCATGGGATCTGCGTTGACCTATGAGGAGTGGGCTCATGCAGCCAAGATGTTTGATAAATCGACCCCTAAAATGAACGAGTCGGATCTCTACGACGAAGAGCTTGTCCGGTTCAAACTCCAAGAGCTTAGGCACCGCCGGCAAGAGGGTTCCCTTAGAGACATTATTTTTTGCATGAGAGCCGACCTTGTGAGAAATCTGGGCAACATGTGCAACCCTGAGCTCCACAAGGGCGGCCTCCACACCCCTACACTCATTCAAGAATACATCGATGAGGTTTCAACTCAGTTGAGAATGGTGTGTGACCTTGATTCATCAGAGGAGGAGGTTCTATTGGAGGAGAGGCTTGCTTTTGTTCATGAAACCAGACATGCCTTTGGTAGAACGGCCTTACTCCTAAGCGGGGGTGCTTCTTTGGGGTCTTTCCACATTGGTGTGGTCAAGACATTGGTGGAACACAAGCTCTTACCACGGATTATTGCCGGGTCGAGTGTCGGGTCCATCATGTGCTCCATTGTAGCCACTAGGTCTTGGCCTGAGCTCCAGAGCTTCTTTGAGGACTCGTGGCATTCTTTGAAGTTTTACGAGCAGATGGGCGGAATATTTTCAATTTTCAAGAGAGTGATGACTTTTGGGGTTGTTCATGAGATAAGATACCTCCAGTATATGTTGAGGAATCTCACTAATAATTTGACTTTCCAAGAAGCGTACGATATGTCGGGCAGGATACTTAGCATTACGGTTTGCTCCCCAAGGAAACATGAACCTGCGAGATGTTTAAATTACTTGACATCTCCTCATGTTGTCATTTGGAGTGCCGTCACAGCATCATGCGCGTTTCCTGGCCTTTTCGAGGCTCAAGAACTAATGGCAAAGGACAGAAGCGGAAATATTGTTCCGTATCATCCCCCGTTTCAATTGGGACCCGATGAGTTGGCCAGTACATCTTCTCGTCGTTGGAGGGACGGAAGCTTGGAGATTGACTTGCCTATGGTTCAGTTAAAGGAGCTTTTCAATGTAAATCATTACATTGTGAGTCAAGCAAATCCTCATATTTCGCCTTTACTAAGGGTGAAGGAGTTTGTTAGAGCTTACGGAGGGAGTTTTGCAGCCAAGGTAGTATTATAATGTACATTTATTATGTACTTTCCTTAGATGTGTTTTCGTGCGAAAACTGCTTATTCATTCACTGTTTTAGCTACACTGGGTTGACAAAATCAATTACATTTGTTAAAAATGGGCATAATACCAACCATCCCAGTAAACCAACAATAATGCATTTTCAAAATCACTTTAAGCAATACCAACCAAATGTATAACAAAATTATACCAAGTGATTTTTGAACGGCAAATCAAGTCATTTAACCCCATCAAAGATTCAAAAATCACATCAAGCTATGTTATATTCTGAAAATAGGACTTGCTTGATTCTATTATGAGCTTAAAACTTCCCCAATTAGGAGTGAATGAGTCCTATTTTATGAAGAAAATAATACTGATCTTAATTGTTGACTTTGTCCATGTTTTACTTGGACATCAAAACATACCTACATCAAAACACATTTACTTTCATTTGTGCACTGTCTATGTTTTACTCCTATTTGAAACAATTTCTTTTTCAAATACACTATATGTGATTGTCTGGTATCAATTTTGGTGGGTTATATGACCAGAATTTTAGTACATAATTTAGCGTATTAAGTAGTCAAATAGTTGGTAAAGCATAAGGTGATTTCTAAAGCATATATTACTATTGTTTTGTGGGTTACAATTGGGACTAATTAGAATTGTTTTCCCTAAAAAAATAATAAAGTTCTATGTTACCACTTTTTTACCATGAATCATACCTCGTTCTTTTAATTACTCTCTCTGTTCACTTTTTACTAGCTGTAATAAGGTTTTCACAATTAAGGCTGTATGAGTTTTCAGTAGCATGCAAAAAGTAAGAAACATAGGAATGAGAATATGAAAACCAGATATTAGAGCAATTAATAATAAACTTCTATTAAATGAAAGTGGAACAACTGAAAGTAAATGGAAGTAGTATTATAAATCTTCTGCAGTTGTTTTAATTAAATAGGTTTAGTTCACCTAAAAGAGTTTTGCTGAGCTATTTGACTCGAACCTAATAAACATCTGATATAGAAGGCTTAACAAGTGTTTTTGAATGAAGCTAGCAAAGCTTACTGAGATGGAGGTAAAGCACAGGTGCAATCAGATCCTAGAACTTGGGTTCCCACTTGGGGGATTAGCGAAGCTTTTTGCTCAAGACTGGGAGGGGGATGTGACTGTTGTAATGCCTGCAACTCTTGCTCAGGTTCTTATTTTTAATTCTTTTACTTCTATCTATTTATATTGAATAAGTAAACTCTCGATAAGGTTTTTCTAATTGAAACAATGTCCACTAATTCTATCCTTTTATAAATTTCCTTTTAATAAAGTATTCAAAGCTGCTGCAAAACCCGTCTGCAATGGAGCTACAAAAGGCAGCTAATCAAGGGAGGAGGTGCACTTGGGAGAAGCTCTCAGCCATCAAGGCAAACTGCGGGATTGAGCTTGCACTTGATGAGTCCGTTGCTATGCTGAACCACATGCGCAGACTGAAAAAGAGTGCAGATAGGGCAGCTGTCTCCCACGGAACTATCCCCTCCGTTAGATTCAACGGTTCCAAAAGAATTCCTTCTTGGAATTGCATGGCGCGCGAGAATGTACATGACTTGAGTGACAGTGATCAGTCTGAAAGTGCCGACCTTAGTTCTTGGACACGGTCTGGTGGGCCATTGATGAGGACGGCATCGGCAGATAAGTTCATAGACTTCGTGCATAACTTGGACAAAGGATCAACAATTGACCCGAACGAGCGATCTTGTTCAGATGCAGAGCTTGAGCAAACATATCGGAACCCTTTTACCGGATCAACGACCATCATGGTGACAGAAGGCGATTTTTTGCAGCCTGAAAGGAGTCATAATGGCATTGTTTTTAATGTTGTGAAAAGGGGAGACTTGACACCCTCAAGCATGAGCCATGGCAGTGAGAACACCAATGGTTTTGTGCATGATTCGAGCCTGGAATGTGTCCAACTTGACTGCCTTGAAAAGGAAACCGATACTAGCTCAGATGATGGTGCTGATAGTGAGCTATGAAAATTTTATATTTTCGGCCTCCAAATTCTAAAGTCTACATTTCCACATGTGCTCCTACTGACCACGTTAAGGTCTTCTATTCTCTAGTATCCACAAACTACCAGTCCCTAAGTAATTCAGTTTAGTGCTCCTAAGTTACAGATCACTAATTGAGATTACACCTCATATGTACAGTTCAATATTGCCTGGTGCTCAACATCTTTTCCTCTGGTTTGGGCCCTTGAGAGTAATATCTCTATCATTCTGAAATCTTAGTATTCGATTCTTCGTTAAGAAATCGTTGATTCTTGGTGCATTGTGACTACAAATTTGCATTGATCACCACATTCATTTAAGTCTTCTTGCTCCATTGCTCCAAAACTTACATAGTCGGAATGATGTGCTACTGCTCTATGTTTTTATGCAGTCATTTGCATTATAGCTTAAATGCTTAATATTGATTAAAAACAAATATTAAATGAAATTGATTAGAGTAATGTTGAGTTTAATTCAACATCATATTATTCGGCTAAGTTTAGAGTCACTCATTTAAGAACAAATAAAATAAAATATGAATGAACACATGATTTGTTGGGATTGGAAAATTCTTCTATTCAATATCAAGAACAGAATTACAATAGGAGGAGCAAACTCTCACACTCAACTATTACAAAAAATCAATCCTCACCAATACACTTCTACGCTAAGTGTATTTCACTCTTCACACACTTTTCTCACTTTCTAAACTGATACTATGAACAACAATGGAGCACTCTATTTATAGGGCTGGTTTGGAGACATGAGGAAGTTGCATCCAAGCTTCCTAGTTATCTCCATATCTTCTCCCACACCTATTTGTTGGAGAGCTCTTTCCAAGAAGGTGCCTCCATGTTAAGGTGTCTCTTGGCAACTTCCAAGAAAGAAGGTGGAAGATACCTACAAATCTCCCTCTCCACCTTTTTCTTTATTTCTCTCGTTCCTGCAGTGCTCGCTGGCTCCCCCTCGCTGGCAACAAGTATCCATTCGGATGTGGAATATTTTCTTTGTGGAACTATGCCTCGCATAGAACGTCGAACATGAATACCTTCAGATTCGTCTTCAGATGAAGGCTCCCCCTGCTGAGGAATATCATCACTGTGAGTATCATCATCACCTGCTGAACCATCACTCTCGTGTTCAGTAGAATCATGCATCTCCTCGTCGCTGAGAGGAATGTTTGATGATACAGGCAGTTCATCTTCTGGAGTATGTTGTTGGCGGATTATTGGAGCACACCCATGAAACTCGTTTTCATGAAATACAACATCTCTGCTTCGAATAACTTTCTTCACTTCGGGATCCCACAACCGGTATCTGAATTCTTCATCTCCATAGCCGATGAAGATACATGGGTTTGACTTGAGATCAAGCTTCTGTCTCAACACCTTGGACACATGTGCAAATGCCTTGCACCCGAACACTTTTAAGTGAGAGTAAGAAACATCTCTTCCTGACCATTTCTTCTCTGGCACTTCAAAGTTTAAAGGAACAGAAGGTGACCTGTTTATAAGATAACAAGCTATCAGCACAGCTTCACCCCAAAATGGCTTAGGTAGCTTAGTCAGACTCAACATGCAATGAACTTTCTCCATAATGGTCCGATTCATTCTTTCGGCTACACCATTGTGTTGCGGAGTTCGTGGAACCGTCTTCTCATGTCTGATTCCATATGCGGCACAATATGCTGAGAATTCTCGGGAAGTGTACTCTCCTCCATTGTCTGAACGCAGACACTTCAGCTTCTTCCCTGTTTCTCTTTCTACCATGGCATGAAATGATTTGAATCGATCAAACACTTGATCCTTACGATTTAAACAGTAGGCCCATACCTTTCGTGATGCATCATCAATGAATGTCACGAAGTATCTGCTTCCTCCAAGTGACTCCTCTTCAATGGGTCCACATACATCAGAGTGGACAAGACTGAGTAACTCTGTATGGTTCTTCTTGGTAGAACTGAAGGAAACCTTGTGTTGTTTCCCAAATAGACAGTGCTCGCATGAATCTAGGGCAACACCTTTGCCCATGGAAATGACTTCCTTCTTTGCAAGAGTTGTCAATCCCTTCACGCTCAAGTGACCTAACCTCCGGTGCCACAAGTTTGGTGATATCTCTTCTTCAACAGCATTGAGACTCGGATGACACAACTTTGCATGAGTTTTATAAAGAGTGCCACAAATATGGCCTCTTGCAACAACCAAGGAACCTTTAGATAGCTTCCACGTACCTTCTTTGAATCGGTTAAGATATCCTTGTTGATCCAGAGCTGTACCGGAGATAAGATTCAATCTAAGATCCGGAACGTGTCGAACATCTTTCAACACAAGTGCGCATCCGACATTGGTTATTATGTGCACATCACCAATGCCAACAATCTTCGAGAAACTGGTGTTTCCCATCTTCACAGCTTCAAAGTCTCCGGACTTATAAGTTGTGAATAAGTTCTGGTGTGGAGTGGCGTGAAATGATGCGGCTGTATCAATCACCCACTCAACATCATGAGTGCCTACGTGTAAACATTCTTGTTCACCATGTGTAACAAGACACACGTCTCATGACAAACTAACCATGGTCTCACCATCTTCTTGGCTAGTATTTTGACTCGTCTGTGGCTTCTCTCGTAGAAACTTTCTACAATCTCTTTTCATATGTCCATAATTACTACAGTAATTGCAATATCCTTCGAACCAAGTATTGTTTTCAAAGGACATACCTCTCTCTTGTGATCTTCCGCGAACTTGAGAATTTCCTCTACTTTGACCTTGACCTCTACCTCGACCTCGACTTCTTCCTCCATTTCTGCCTCCCCCTCGTCTGTTAGTTTCTGATATGAGGACATATGATTGTTCCGTCCCGGCTTCCTTCCTTCGGGCTTCTTCATTCATCAGGGCATCTGTGACCATCTGCATAGTCACCTTCCCATTTGGAGTAGAATTACTGAGAGTGACAACAAGAGTCTCCCAGCTGTCAGGTAGAGAGCTCAAGAGTAGTATCGCCTGCTCTTCATCTTTGAGAACCCATCTGGTGGTGCTCAACTGATTCACAAGATCCTGGAATTGACTGGTGTGTTCTGACACCGAAATACCCCCACGTAATTTGTGGTTTACTAATCTCCTCATTAGTAACGTCTTATTTCGGGCGGTTTTTGCTTGATACATGCTACCAAGCTTCTCCCATAGTGTGTAAGCACTTTGTTCTTGAGCAACATGGTGGAACACACTATGATCTATCCATTGTCGAATTTGTGCGACAGTTTTTCGATTCATTTTTGTCCATTCTTCATCCGTCTTTTTATCCGGTTTCACACCATTATTATCAAGAGGATCCGCTAAATCCCTCAAATTTAGCAAATCCTCCATCCGAGGCTTCCACATATTGTAGTTTGTGGATGTGAGCGCAATCATGGTGTCCGATGATGATTTATCCATAATAAAACGCTCTATATATCTCGTACCTTATTTTCGAAGCCGAATTTGGACAAACGGAGCTCACCGTTGGATCCGGAATGGTCGAAAATGGTGAGAACCGGTCTGACCTCGTCCAAAACTGGTCTGGAAATGGGTGAACCGGCCTCCAAAAGCACGAACCGATTCGGTCCGGTTCAGGCAGCAGCCCAGCCTGCAGCCCAGTAGGCGAATGACGTGGCTCTGCTCCCTCGCTGACGTGGCGATGACGTGTAGCCACGTGGCGTCTGACGTGGTTCACAGCGGACGACTCGGGTGGATGACGTGGTCCAACGTGGCGATGACGTGGCAGCTGACGTGGATCATCTTCTTCCTCTGGACTGCGTGATGACGCAGTGATGATGCAGGCAATTTTCCGGCGGCGCGTACGGCCTCTTCCGATGGCCAAAAAAATCCCCAAAAATACCAGATTTCTCGTCTCGCCGAGACGAATCTAACGGTATGATCAGATCCTGATTCCGAGCAACTTGAAAAATCACGATTTTCTAACCTATAGAAATTTATCTGAAAATGAGAAAACAGTGTATGGAAACTCAACCTCGCTCTGATACCACTTGTTGGGATTGGAAAATTCTTCTATTCAATATCAAGAACAGAATTACAATAGGAGGAGCAAACTCTCACACTCAACTATTACAAAAAATCAATCCTCACCAATACACTTCTACGCTAAGTGTATTTCACTTTTCACACACTTTTCTCACTTTCTAAACTGATACTATGAACAACAATGGAGCACTCTATTTATAGGGCTGGTTTGGAGACATGAGGAAGTTGCATCCAAGCTTCCTAGTTATCTCCATATCTTCTCCCACACCTATTTGTCGGAGAGTTCTTTCCAAGAAGGTGTCTCCATGTTAAGTCAATTCTCTTCTATTATTTGCTCCAATCTTTTACTTGGAGCTCTGGGAGCTTCTGTAGGTGTTGATCAGAGTAGGAGGGAGAGAAATCTTGAATGGGTACTTGGGTAGTCTTCTATTTATAGGAGTAATTTAAGGCTTCTTACCTTAACATGTAATGCAGGCTAGCTATCGGACCTTATTTGTTGTTATAGGCTAGGTGCCATTATAACTTGATAAATGATTTTGGATTTAAAAACTGAAGCATGTGCGGATGTGCCTTTCCCGTCGTATCAGTACGAAACTATAGAGGAGAGACGGTAGATGGCTCACCATATATGTACTTTCTCATCCTCCCGTTCTTAATTAACTTTACACTTTTCTTTTTGGGCCGTCTTATATTAAAGGAGAATGTTACAACAAAAAAAAGAACGAAAACTGTCAAAAGTCTATTTGATCGTCTTCCCAAAAATAAATTATCAAAGCCAGGTTTCGATCCTAGGACCTGTGGGTTATGGGCCCACCACTTTGATTCAATGTTTAATTTTATGACAAGAACCATACTTAATTTCCAAATAAATAAGTTGAAAATGCATCAGCCCCTATCAATTACTTCCATCCCATTACATAAGAATACATTATAATTAAAAGTATCATGTCAATAAACTATAAAGCAGGTTTCGGAGGTACGTCCGTGTGTGTATAGATTAAACATCCCATGAGAAGTGTAACTTAACGGCGAATTTCATAAACTTTAAGTCTTTTAATTAATTGATAAAAATATTCTTTCGTATTACGGAGTAAAATTTAACGGGTCATTTTTAAGGTTTCTCTCTGTCTCCAGAACTCCTTTTCCCCCGTTTTCCATGGTTCTCTTCGGAGTCCGGATCAGTTGCTTTGTTTTCACTTTAATCCAGCTTTTTTAATTTGATTAGTGCTATCAGTGAGTGATTGAAATAGCTAGGAACAAGTTCATCATATCTAAAACACTTGTCGACGATATGCTTCGCAGATACGTATAATGTCCAATATTCGGAAAACCATCAAGGACGTGTAGGTTAAGTCTAAATCCATCAAAGATAG